CATAGACTTTTTAAAATTGGAATTTTTGACACTACACTTTCAATATTAGAAGATATTTCAGAAGACTTTTTTGGGGCTGATTTTACCTTTTTTTTTTATATATTATATTTTTTTTTTATACCTCCTGTATTTCAATCTGTTTTACTCTATAGCACACTCTAAATGTAAGTTAATATTATGCTGAACTGTTGTACTAGACAGTCATTAAATGGTATCTATAGGTAATCACTTGAAAATCATACAACCTATTGGAAAATCACCAAGGTAAAGTCTGAACTACTAAAATTAATTAATTACTAAACATTTTTTAAATGTATCTGTAAAATATATCAATATATATATACATGGGCTCTTTACATTACCACAGACAACCTAGCTTCTACAAACTCACAAAGAGCTTTACCTAGTCTTACAAAATGCATACAAGGTTAATGAAATAGGGAGTTTAAGAACCTATAGTTTAAATTATGTGACATAAATGATGATCTCGTATAACATCCATGTTTGGAGTTATCCTTCATATGGAGTATCTTGAAAGAGGGCAATCATTCATATGACAACTGCAGTAGCTTTCAAACTAGGACTTTTTCCTTTTAATTATATTGAATGGTGTACATGAAATACCACAGAAGACTAGAAGCTCTGTCTTGATAGAGTATACTGGTACATGTTAGATTTACTGGTCTTTGATTATATGTAGTATGGAGGCTAATGTTGGATATAAGGCATGGTGTGTAGGCCCACAGCTCACAAATGGGTGTTTTGTATTTCTTTGGAGTAGTCACAAAGAAATTCTATGATGAACCAAATACTGGATGGAAAATTGTCATGCCATGTGTGGTCATCTTATTCAAAGCAGTATCTGCTAAAACAGTTCTTGTGGTTATTATGAAGTCACAGCTCTGAAACGTAGGCTTAATCAATCTTTTTAGCCTCATTTTCTTGAACATTATGTAAAGTGCTGCTGAAAGCCTAGAAAGTGTTTCACTTGAGTTGCTGAATACCTCGCCCACTTGGTGCATGGGTCATGATAGGCAGTTGCTATAGCAGCAGCTAACCACCGATGGGGACCTTCACAAGGGGCACGAAGTGTAAGCCGAGAACATAAGTGTCTCACATAAGTGCCAGCCAGCTACTGCCCATGTTTTGGCTGTCTCACTGATGAGACACCTGTTATTGTAGGTTGGTTATCTAATCATATTTTATTTCCAAAGCTTATGCATATCTGAAACTTCAGAAACAATTGCTGTACTATGAATAAGCAACAGGTACTTTTAGAGAATATAAACTTCACATTATCAGATATGACCCTGCATCTGTGATTATCTAACATCATGGTTGATGTAGGTAAACAATAAAAAATTTACATCATTTTCATTTTTTTTTTTTTTTTTTTTTTTTTTTTTTTCTTTTTTTTTTTTTTTTTTTTTTAATAACTGTCCTTGGTTAGCTAGTTTTAGGTATTTTACTTAATGTTTTGAGGTCTGGTTGATTACACATTACTTTTCCTGGCAATTCTTCACAGGTAATCCTGCACTCAAGTGTGGACACAAAGTCCTCAACTCAACATCACAAAATTTATTCAATAATCTAAGTTACACTGACTGGACAACAATGTCTCCACCTTCGTATGTAAAGCAAGATAAAGCTGAAATTAGCAGAACCGAGTGGACTTCGGATGTGAGCAGCTCTTTTCGCAATCTTTTGCCTTTATTTGTGGCATTACCATTTGTGTCTGCAGATTACTTCTCGTACTGATTACATCACCTTTTCCTTGAATTATTACGATTGTACTGTGAAATTTTGACATAACTGTATTACAGGGAATATATTTAAATTACACTACTTAGTAACTTATATACCAAAACAAAACACCAAACATGCTTGAATTAACAAAAAATGAAACCGAGATCTCTACTTAGTTCTTCAGTTAATGCTAAGTTCCCTGAAACTGTTCTAAAAAAACTTCTTCGAGTCATCACATAGTCAAAAAAAAACACCCATGGAATTGGACCCTTACCGATGGCATATTCTAATACAATGAATGTTTAAAATGCAGCACTCACAATAAATGATGTTGTGAACAAAACGAAACAATGTCAAAAAAACGAACCAATGTCAAAAAACGAAACAATGTCAAACCTTTTCCAAAACGTCCTTCGCTATTCACATCCATATTACATCTATAATTACTAATAAAAACTTATCACACAATTCAGCTTCGTCCGTGATACTTAATGATGAATATTACGCTGCATCAAGTACTTACTAAGCTTACAGACCTAACATAAAGATTTAATTTATTGCAAAATCCTTCGCCTCTCCGCCGCCTCTGACCAAGGGACCCAAAACCAAAACAAGTGGTTATATATTTTCTCTACGATGGTTTGGATATTCATAAAATGCACAACCTATTGAAGAAAAGCACATCTAATCATAAAAAATAAGGTACATTGATGGCAATGGTCGTATCTTCATAGTGTCTCGAAGTTATAAAAATATTTGCACCTGTTCTCTCTACCTTGTAAGGACCCCCCCCTCCCTATCTAAAAAGGCGACGAAGTAGGAGAAAATCGGAACATAAGCTTTAAGATGCTTTAGCACTGTGCAAAAATGGAGATGGTGCATATGTAATAGACTCATTAAACCCAATCACTATGTCAGGACTTAATTACAGTTATATATATATATATATATATATATATATATATATATATATATATATATATATATATATATCTGTGTGTGTGTGTGTGTGTGTGTGTGTGTGTGTGTGTGTGTGTGTGTGTGTGTGTGTGTGTGTGTGTGTGTGTGTGATGATAAAACTATTTGTAATCGTGTTTTTTAAGTATTGCAAACAACATTTTTTTTCAATATAAAAAGTTAAGCAAAAAGGTAAAAAGTAAAAATGCTAGTGGCAAACCAGGTATCAAGGATGATTGTAGATATACTTCTTCAACCCACAGAACATTATATTTATGTGCTAAAACATGCCGATGAACAATATATATGTGGTTCTCATTTACGACTTTCAAGACAAGTAATCTACCAGTCCGTACGTCTGTGTGCATGTATCAGTCTGTCTCCCCCCCCCCTCGCTTCCTACCCCCTCTCTATACATTGGTATAACCGAGTTATACTTATTATATTTTAAGTTGTTATTATTTCAACCGATTATCATGGAAACGTGCACCTACGTTATGTTAGATATATATTAGTATGCTCTACAAAATACACCCAACTAAATGATTTGTATTATCGTGCATGGCATTCTATTTGTTACAATTACACACTGTATGCAAGTTCGCTGCTATACGTACTTGCTTCATTCCTGCCACGCCAGACATTACCTTTTTTCCCTTTCTCTTCCGCAAGAGCTATTGATGTACCACTTCTTCACTAGACGCATGATTCATAGATATTGTTAGACCACTGTTCCATGATACAATGTTATAGGAACACCATGCGGAGGCCCAGAAGCAAAAATTCTTTCCTCCGAGAACTAGTCTTCACTCCAGAATTTCTGGGTAAGTTAAACATATACAAGAATGAGGATGTTTCGGCCTTAGCTCACCGTTCATGTTCTTGAAAGTGCTCACTTCTTAGGCTCTTAAACTCTCTCTGTCTCATTCTGTATATCGGTCTTTCTTTTTTTTCTTTCTTTCTTCTCCTACCCTCTCTTTCTTTGTCTACTCTATCTCTCTCTCTGTCTGTCTCCCCCCTCTCCCTCGTCATGAGCTCTCTCATGGATAAATGGACAAACGTGGACAAAGTTAATGTCTTTCTCCAAGAGATCAGCTAAGAGCACTCTAGATCACCAATTCTAGACACAGCAATTCCTGATACAGCAAAGGTCCTGGCACATCATTTGGCACTCCTAGGTCTTCTACCATTTTCAAGTAAACAACCAAAGCCGGTCACATCTTTTTAGTTCCCCTCATTATCATGTGATCTATACACTGTGAGGCGTAAATAAGTCTTTAGTACTGGCATATTTGATACAGCTTTAATGTTTCAGAATATACTGTTCAATAAGGTATGAGAACCTTATACCTGCCTATAGTGGAGTGGCAGTTTTGCTTGATTTCTTTATCTTTCTTATATTTTTAGTTCGTAGTTCATGCTTAGCTAAATAACACAAGGAATTCTTTAACAGAAGTTAACAAGTATAGTTCATGCATTTACTGATTTGGTGATGCTTGGATGAAAAATGTGTCATCATTTTAAGACAAGGATAACTTCTTGAGGTTGTTTTATTCAATAGCCTATTTCAGAAGAAGTTTGTTGATAAATCAATTTTATTGCCTTGAGCAATCAAACAATGGGGCTGATGCTGACAGGGTTCTTTAGACGTACCCATCATTCGCTTCCAGCCATGAAGGTCCCTCGTGGCAAACTATCAGGCAGGTCATTGACCCATATCTAACTCCTCGTGACAGGTCTGGACAGTCTGCTCAAGCCACGACTTCCTAGGGCGTCCCGCGAGTCTCCTTCTTCAAAAGCTGTCTCAGGAAGAGACAGCTGAATGGGCAGGATCACACACAGGGAAACAAGCTAGATGACCCATTTGTGCATGTAACAAGGCCTGGTCTCACAAGGACCTGTTACAAAATGCATCAAGACGAGACCCCAAGGTACAAGATAATGTCCAGGTTTTATTTCTATTCAGGGAAATTGGCAGAATCAGGGCCTTGAAGACACGCAGGTTGGTCCTTCTGTACAATTACCGGCAACTCTAAATATTCATGTTGATTGAGTTCATAGCACCTGCTGCCAGAACAACCTGACAGCCTAGAGTCATAGCTAGAATACCAAGGTATGTAAAGCTCTTCATGACTTCAATGTTCTCTCCATAAGCATATACCAACTGAGCAGGTTCTCTAGTGGGCCCACAAGGTCTTGGATCTTCGTCTAAGAGACTTCTAGATCCAAAGGGCTTCACTTCTTGCTAAATGCAATAAAGTGAAATTTCCAGACTAAAAAAAAGGTTGCAATATCAT